TATCGAGGGAACCTAACAATGTAGCTATCGCCAATTTCGAGCGCTTGTGTAGTTTTATTAGACTGCCAAATATCTTTAGAAAACTCACGACGATAATTACTTGTATCAATATGGAGGGTGTGAAGGTTGTGTTTTTGTTACTTCGTCGGAACCGTCTTGTTTTCAGGTAAACTAATAGTGTAAATCGAGAGCGCACAGAAATGTGTGTAAAGCGTTGTCGATGCGGTAGGTTAGAATGTGATATGGAGGCACTCAGGGAATGGCAGCGGTCTGCCTCACTGGACCGCAGGCGGCGGGCCTCGGAGGCTTCAAGGATAGAGAGCATGGTTGGTGAGAGCAAAGCGATGGTGGTAACGAGTACATAGTTCTCATCTCGCGCGATGCGGCGCTATCCTGGGACCGGCTCGGTGTAGCGGGCGGAACTTCATGTTTTGGCGTATTGATGACTAGTCTAGTTAGTACCGGGATTCTCACTAGTAGTATTAGGGTAAGATGTCTGGTCATGAAATGTGTCATGCATGTGCTTGCGGTTTGAGAAAAACGGGAGATAGATAAGAAGGCAGTAACATGAGAGGAATATAGTAAGGCCTAAAGCCGGCGCCAGCACGTGAGTTGGATTTTACTCAGGAGGTAAATAGAGCGCGATGGTCAGAAATGAGCTGCAACGGAAATCCGCGCACAGCGTGAGTAAATATAAAATGACGCATGCGTCAAATTACTCAACGAAAATCCGCCGCACATGTGAGTAAAATGACTCCTGCGTCATTTTACTTGAGTAAAATAACTCACGTGTGCGCCGGGCTTAATGCAGCGTTCTCCGCTGCTCGCCTCGCATGTGGAAGGTCGGGGGTTTAACTCCCTTTTTGCGGTTAATAACTTCTTTGGTATGCCAAATAAAGCACATTCGCTGCCGCACAAATGTCTTAAGTTACTACAAACACTAAAATTAACCGGAAACTAACGCTTAAATGTTGTACTTGCTATATTACTTGTCGACGAAGATTGTTTACCAACTTGTAACCGCCATTTTCTGCTAGTGGCGCTAGTGAGCGGGCACAATGTATTTCCAAGTGGAGGGGTGGGCAGGTTGCACGCAGTTGCAAACAGCCATTTTTCGTTGCGCAGCGCTAGCGCGGTGGTAGCGAAAAATGGCGATGTGCGCGGTGGTGGTGCGGTGCGGGTACGGTAACTATCTGATATGGTTAGGGTTAGGGAGTAGGCGTAGGCAACTCCCTAGACTCGTTAGTGGAGTAGGCGAGGTACAGTCCGGCATATTAGATAGTACCAGGGTACGTTCCGGTATACCGGACCGTACCCAGGGTACGTTCCGGCAGTACCCTGTGGGACATAGACCCTCTCAGCATCTCTGGGCAGAACCTATGTTACCGATCCAGCACATCTCCAAACACTTAATTGTGTTCACTAGATCAGTTTTTTTAGACACATTGTCAGTTTGTCTTTTGTTTGTTTATCGCTGAATTTTATAAAAGTATGCATACCGGTACATCGGTATTACAGGTTTCATTGATACATTGATAAAGTTACCCATTTCCCTGGCTACAGTACAGGATTATATCTGCCATACTTACTCAAACTCACGCTGTACATATAGTCTGTATATCGTGTACACATGCACTTGCAACTGAATGAATTTGAACATTGAAATTGAAACACCAAAACTGGCCAGTGTCAATTATAGATGGGCAACCATTTAGCAGTGAATTAACAGCATGATTTCTATAACAAAATTAGATTTTTATTATGGTATCTATTCGGGATACCAGGTATTGAAATCTGGTATCCCCCCAAAGATCTGGTATCCCATTTTTTGGATAGTAATTTCAACAATGTTGATATCCAAAATCTTGAAATATGCAATAATAGCATTTGAAAATTATTAATATGTAATGTAATTATTATATAAAAACATGAAAACAGATTCACAGATATGCACAGACAAGTACACTGCAGACGTATTGTCTAGACACATTGTTTGGTTCGCTTGTTACAATGTATACACATCACATTTATGATCAACATCGCCACGCTTGTGCTTGCAAATATGCTATGCCTGCTGTATAACGTAGTAACGCTAGTGTGGCATAGTAATAAGGGTGCCTAAGCCCGCTCAGATCACGCGCACTCGCTCTACGCGCACTCGCTCAGATGCGCTGCCCAGGGTTCTGCCCACGGTGGGCGGCGGTGGGCGGGTGTGCCCGGTACTCGCGGTTGCCGCCCGGCACTATATATCTCCGCCCGGCACTAATTTTTGATATAAAAGAAAAAGAAAAAAAAAGTCTGATATATAGGCTTTTTATTGCTCAGAATGCAGGAAACTGAGTTTCAGACTATCAAAAATCAAAAATTTTCAGAGGAGGCATGCCCCCGGACCCCCCTAGATTGGCTTTGCGCCTACGGCGCTTGCATCTTGCGATTTGGTCGCAACTGGATGCGCCTGGCACTAAAAAATCCTGGGCAGAACCCTGGCTACCGTATAAAGTTGATAACTCAACAACCACTATCCCGATTTTGACGATTCGCGCAATGGCGTCGGCGTGTGTTTACAGTTGAAATGCTTCAAGTGCCTGTGGGGCGGGAGGGCGTGCGGTGTACTTGTACGTGTGTTGCCGATGAGCATTTGACCGGCATTTACAGGTGATTATAGGCGAAATAGAGTAGAAAAACATTGGACCTTTTTGGTACATTTCGTGTTTATTTACCATTAATTTTTTTTATTGAGACGTTCCAAGTGCCTGTGTTTTAGACTAGGACCGTCAGTCACTCGTCAGCCAGTGACTATGTTGCATTCCTGCTCAACAATATTGTACAATATAATTGGCTAATACATTAGTTACCATGCAGGGACCTATCATCAAGATTTTCAGTTTTGTTCGGATCATCGTTTTGTTCGGAATAATCGACCTGCTGCCGCTTGTTGTATCACTGTCGCCGTCATCATCAACATCTGATATACAGTGCCCTCTATCGTTGATTTCCGTAAAATAACTGCCATCAACATCATCCTCGCTGTAAAAGAGCATTTATAACGATTACGCGGAGCACTGTTAACTATGAAGCTACTAAAACACGCGTAAAATGTGTACAGCACAACACACAAAAGAACGCATAACTCGACCCGCGCCTTGGAGGAATAAAAATAAGATGATGATGCTGAAGAAGAAGATGAAGAAGATGATGATCGATAAAGAAGCAGTGGCGTAGCTAGGATTTTTTCAGTGGGGGGGCACTGGGGGGGCCTTACATTTTCGTGGGGGGCACAATATATAACTTTTCTTTTTATTATACTGTTCTAACGGCATTGTTTTTAATTCAATTTTTTTTTATCAATCATGAATTTTCAGTGGAGGGCACCTGGGGGGGGCACAGAAAATTTGTGGGGGGCACGCGCCCCCTCAGGCCCCCCCGTAGCTACGCCCCTGTAAAGAAGAAGAAGAAAAAAAAGAAGAAGCAGAGGAGGAGGCGGGGGAGGAGGATGGGGGAAGAAGAAGAATAAGAAGAAAATTATGATGCTGAAGAAGAAGAAGAAGAAGAAGAAGAAGAAGAAGAAGAAGAAGAAGAAGAAGATGATGATGATGATGATGATGATGATGATGATGATGAAATATAGAAGAAGAAGAAGAAGAAAGAAACAACAATAACATATAGCAACGCACCATAATAAAAGACTGTGCACGTACGGCAACAGGAACCATGAAAGTCACGTACAGCAACTGGCGAAAGAAATATACACACATATATAATTATATACTATATATATTGACATCAAGAGTACATAATCTCTATTATGTACTCTTGATTGACATAGACCTATTTGTCGGTGAGTTGTTGATATGCGGTACGTATTCGCGTCTCAGTCCTGCGTTGCTGTCATCGCTGTGTAGAATGGGTCCACTTTCGGCGTCTGCATAGTTGCAACTTTCGCGGCGTGTTCCGTCAACACATGATTCGGGTTGAAGCCCCGCCACTGGTGGGTTACTCATACGTTTACCGTCCTCGACGTGAGCATGTGTGATTTCGGCAGACACTTCCAAAGCGTCAACCTCATCTTCTCTGCCCATAAAGGCAAACATTGTATTTTTTTTACCTTCTCCCATAGCAAATCAATGCGAATTTGTATATATATACGAGATACAACGCATCACTTCAGCGACATCCACTACTACTGTTGCTGAATTCTATCCATGCACGTATATATAATCGCGTAGGTATCGGAGAGGTTATCCGCGTCTGCGTGCTCGTCAGACGCGCTCACCTGGTGTGAGTAGACATGCGAATCGATGAACGCGTCTATGTCGCTAATCATCCGGTACCCAAAATATTTTTATCGCGTGAATGCTATACGCGGTCACGGCGCAGCTGCGCGCTGAATAAATTGAAAACGGATATTCAACGGCAATCCGTATTGAATGTCGGTCGGCGCGCCTGACGATCCGCCTATTTACCGCTCGCACGCACACGCAACCAGTCGCCCCGCGTGGTGCCCAAAATATCAGTTCGATCGATCTTACTCTCTTGTTGCGCTCACCACGAAATTCCTCATCAATATTAGAACGTCGATGCATGCCCAGCAATGTTTGGTAATGCTAATTAAGCAATGAATGCACGGCCTGTCTCACAAATAACACTCTTAAGTAATTACCTACCAAAGAGTATTTATAAATATTGTTATACGTCTCCCTAGTCTCCCCCTTGAGATAATAGTGTTTCAAAAGCATAGCATGCCATAACTTTTCTAAATTTACCGGATAAATTCAAGATCGTGTAACTGCATCAAATAACTGAACTTGGGATCTCAATGAACCAAGGACAGACATTCCTTAGTTATGAATTGTAACAAAGTTGCTGATTTACTTGTGATTTCCACTGCAGTCCCACAGCTCCACCTCTGCATTGGTGACGTGTCCACCCACCTTTAAGCCCGCAGCTTCAAACTCTAGTATGCGTACTCCCTGAGTTGGGTTGTAATCATTGCTGATTGAATCCGTTGCCTCAGCCAGGAAATTTGAAAGTGTGGTCTTGCCACTCTGAGAACAAGATGCACAGAACATTAAAAATGTACGCAGCAACTGTCAATGTTGATACTAGGAGTAACACTAGATGATATTAATGAGACTTTAGAAATTTTACTCCTTGCAATACAACCGTAGACTTGTCTAATTAAAAAATTGATAGTACAGTAGTGACTATACCGTACCAGCCTAGTACTGTAACTATTAGTACTGCTGCTACTGCATCTGTACCATGCTGGCTCTGCTGCTACAGTGGGAACAAGTATGGGAAGATACAATACAGTTGATTGCATAGATTTGTTTTTTAAGTCCAAGAAACTATACCAACAAGTGCCGCAGAGCGACAGCGCTCACCTGACGGCAGGTGTTCTGATGCTAAACTCACTGGCAAACGAATGAAGAGCACCCTCCCATCACTGCTCAACTGGATGCGCCTGGCACTAAAAAATCCTGGGCAGAACCCTGGCTACCGTATAAAGTTGATAACTCAACAACCACTATCCCGATTTTGACGATTTTTTTTTACTATCCCGGCGGGATACCAAGCATTGAAATCTGGTATCCAACACAAGAATCTACTATCCCACGGATATCGGGATACCACTAATTTCGACCCCTGCTTAGTGGTCCTCTAAATCGTAGGGTGCTCTAAATGTTCTGATTTTAAACCCAATGCATCACTTGCCTTGCGATTTAAAATTACAATATCACCCATGTGACCATTAAGGCAGGTTTGACTGTATATAATGCTATGGTAATCTATGGTATAGTTGGTTATGTTTTGTTATTTTGTTTATACAAACTAGTTAGCATTGTAATGAGACTTTACACAAGTCTAAGTCATTGTATGTACTGTGGTCCTATGCTTGTGTTGGCATATATACATATATTTTTAAACAGCACTGGCGAAACATACTTGTGCATATCAACTATCCTTAGCTTATGCATGCTCGTATTATGTTACAGGTGCAGCGGCGATGTACTCGTGTTACGTGTGCGCTTCCAGCGATTTCAGTGGCTTACAAGTGAACAGCACTGTGGATGGCATCCTTGCGGGCTGCCCGTCACAGGCTCCTTGCTGCAAAGACGAGTTCGGTGGAAGTTCAACTGACAAAATTGACATAGCCCACAACTGCGAGTTTTGCATCAAGTCGAAGATCACATGGTCTGGCTGTACGTAAAGTTTATATTCTTTTACAACTAATGATACGTGTAATGTATCATGTATGTACATTTTTACATACATTTTTAATGTATGAACACAATATGCTAAACTTTGATTGCACTGAAGTCATGTTGTGGTTGTTGAGACCAAATTGTTGAGCGTGTTGATTGTACTTGTCTTCAGCCCGTGATGATATTTTCTACAAAAGACTCTGCTACGATAAGCACATGGGCGGTGAAATACAGAAGGTCATCGTGGGAGAAATTGATGTAGAGTATGTACAATAATAATCTTTATTTGGCATATCATATGGTATAATGTGTGAAATTGCTCCATGTGTGTTACGTGTTTTTGAATTTTCATTTCAAGTGTATATGTTATGGAATGTGATTTTCCACACAGTATTGTATTCAGTGCCGTTACTCTAGCTACTACCACTGTGAGTAAATACAGCTGTGGCTGAGTACTTTCCTGTGTAACTTACATTTGCATGTATTTATGCGCCCCTCCCCCTTTCTCCGCCCTCCTCATGGCATTTATCGTGGCTAACACTTTCCTTCTCAGCACAACACCGAGAGACAAGGTGAAGGAGCGTCTCAACGTGCTGGAGAAGCTTGAGGCGGGCGAGTGCATCACCAGGACGACGGAGACGCCGCTGTTCAAGCAGAGAGACGAGTTGTGCGGCTGCAGGGGCGATTTCTGCAACGGGGCGCTGGCACTGCGCTCCGGTCTGCTGGTGGCCGTCATAGCCACTGCGGCAGCACTGTGCATGTGAACAATGCCGGGTAAACCTAGGTGTCTATGTATGGGGTCGATAGGTGTATGTCCACCATAACCCCTCTTCTTCTTCTCCTCCTTCCACCTCACATTGCCCCCTGCCCCTTGACCGAATGGCTGCCTTTCCCCTTCTTGTCCCAACTACCGTTCAGTTAACCACTTTAGTACTCCACTTACCTTGGGAGCTGTTATTTTGACTGATTACAGGACCAGCATCGACCCATTGGTCAGCGAACTTGGGGCAATTGTTTTCCTGTGTCATCGTTAAAAATATTGAAAAAGTAATGTAGTGGGCACGTTCAATGCGCTTTCTGTTGGTGAAGAGGCACACATGTCATCTTTCTTTCCAAGATTAAATTTTTGGTCTCTTGCAGCAAATATCATCTCGTGTACATTCAGCCTAAGAAAGCTGATAGTAGTGTGTTTCTACAGTGTTTCCCTTTCCAAATGTTCACCGGACTAATGTGAGGTGGTGCTCTGTAAACAGTTAATGCGTCATGTAGTTTTGAAATCGAAAGCCAGCAAGTGATGAGAGCGAAGTAAACATAGAAGTAACGTATGGCAAGGAGGTTTAAGCCTAGGTAGCATGTAGCAACAAAAGTGTCATTTTAATACATTTGTTGTGAAGCTGGGAATGTGCATGTACTTTACGTAAGCAAGTTGATCTTATCTGTAATAAGTTGAAACTAAAGTGACTTCTATCAGCTTAACATTCTAATAAGAATCTCTGAACCATGTGCAGTTAGCCAGTGTTAATCTCACCTCTTTGTTTGTCAGTGCAGATATGTGTGAAAATTGTTGATATAACCTCAGAGTACAGGATAATTGGGCTTAATGATGAAAGACATTCATCAATGATGACTGATATAAAATTTAGTGACACGAATTTGAATTTAATCCGTAAAGTATTCTCCAATTGTTGACATAACTACTGAAGAGCATATGTCAATAAATATTGGGATAGAGCAAGCGCAATGGCATCAAAGGAAACAGAGGCAGACAGAAGTTGGTTGTTGATATCAGGAGTCTATCAATATTGATAGACTCCTGTTGATATGTGATACAATTAAAGATGCTGAACTTGTTGGTGCTGTTGGTGTGATGGAATACTGTGTAAGTGTGTGTGTGTGTGTGTGTGTGTGTGTGTGTGTGTGTCTGCGTGCATGTACGTGTAGAACATGCATGCAAACAAATCTATGTAATGATGTTACATGTACATACTTGTCTTGGAAGGTATCTTCATTTATGAAGCATATATCATTCCCGTTTTTTTATAAACAACCAAGCTGAAGTCAGTTGCAACACCATGCAAACGATATTGTTGTCAGTTTTCTTAGGGAACTAGACTGTACATCTGCTATGATTACAGCTATGTAATCAAGCTGGAATATATTCTATGCTCGATAGAATGTAACCTATCCTACAATTTAAGTTGGTTTTCGGCGAGTGAGCGAGAACTGGTTTGCTTATACATTTTTGAATCTCACGAGGCGTGCGTGCGTGCATCAGGTGTTTGTTGCTATTGATGCATTTTCCTGGTTTAATTATCAATATAGTCAAGACATATCTTTAGAAAAAAAATTGGGTTAAGGGTAGCAAGTGTATGTTAAGAGGATTTGGTAATGAACACGAACGATACGATGTGTTTGCAGTGGCACGGTAAAACTGCAGTTGTGTGTGCGCTGCAGAGGAACGGATGGAAAGCTGGTTCCATTGTGAGGGCACAGCCAGCGACGCGTGTAAATATGCTCGTGCGGGAGTACTGTACGAGCTATTCACATACATTTCCTAATTAACATCACGCTCGTATTTTTTCTAGAGCGAGTACATCCACGTCGTTGCGAAGGCACATTTCACACGTGTTATACAGGAATGAGTTTAGGGGGGTAATGTTACTCGTAGAGATAGGCTGTGCCTGAGCAATGACGCAAAGCAGCTTTATTGATCTGGAAGCTGAGCTGCTGCAGTGCCCCCCCCCCACTCAGTGTTATTTAGGGTACGCATATGCTCGTTCCCTCCCTTTCAAAGCACCCCCCTATCTCAGGACTGCTAAAATTTCTGAACCCCCCTTTCGCGGGCTTTTTGCGGGTTTTTCCTGCCTTGGAGACCCCCCTAAATCCGGAACACTGCTCAGTGTACGCCCTATCTCAGGTTAGCTCTCATTCCAACCGTAGTGACGTTAGTGTAGCGTGTGGAACTGTCGAACCAGTCTACACTACGTAGTGTAGAGTTCAGTGATCGAGGGGAACTAGGGGCGCAATATTTTTAGCATTCAAGAGAAAAATTTAACATAATCCTAAATGAGCTTTCAAAACTAGCAGGAATTTCAGGAATTTGATCCCGGGATTTGATAAAGTTTTCTATGATATTCAAGATGAAAGAGAGAGAGGAAAAACACCCCCTTTTTAAAGAAATCTCCGGGTGAAAAGTCAAATACACCCCTTTTTTTTTACAATTCTTGGGCCGGATTTTGTCGCGCGAAAAATACCCCTTTACCGGAGATTTTGGGAACGCGCATGCGGTCCCTCCGACCTCGGAGTGGGGGGCCGGGCTGCAGTGTAGTCCATCGCGTTTGCTCTGCAATAGTAGAAAAGGACGTTGTTGTTCACAGTTTTACTAACTTCGTTAAAGAATCTCACGTATGTTCACGTAGGTCAGGGAATTGTTGTTTTAGTTGATACTATGATAATTATATTTTAGCTAATGGTTATGTAGTGATGCTTATAGATGTTTTAGTGCCAGCAAGTAGTTAGGAATCAGTCACTGGCGAAATCTCAAGTAACACTCTGTGGTTATAAAATGGGAATTTACCCAACTCGAATCGTGGGAAAAATTTAGATTTAAAACGTGAGATTTTACCTCTGCAATCATGCTTGCCATCTGGTATTGATCTTGTTAATTAATGTGACTGCTGCCAGTCCAGAAATGTTGTTGTTCTATAAATTCTATTAAATATTTTACCATGTTGTCTTTAAGGATATTGCTATAATGTATCAGTAATGTGTTACTGATTACATTATGCATGTTTTCGGGTGTAATGAAGCAATGTTATTACAGTTGGATGCAGAATACAATCACGACGAATCATAAGTTGCACGTTGCATAGTAATACAATAATTAATAAGTAGGTCAAAAGAAGCAAGAGCACACTAACATTGTTATACCTAATCTTTTCACGTGTTACTTTTACAATAGTGTAATAGTAAACTCACTATGCAAAATTTGGAAATATGATAAATGTTGATTGCAATTCTTGTTTTTTTGTTTCTGTTTTAGTCTTTAATATATTACTATAACTTGAGCTATAAGGTATACACAGACACAAGAAAATAAACTGCAATTAACTTACAACAGAAAAGTGGAAATATGAATAGGAATATAATTATAATAACAATTTTGATACAATTTATTTTTATCACTTTCGACCGAAATGGATGGTACATGCTTGATATATGGCATGTAAAACCCCAATTTCACCATTATAAATTCCCCAGATCCACACCCGGGTGCACAGATATATAATCACTTGACAAAATGGTTAATTACACCTGCTAATTAACGATTTCAAGGGAACACACTGACAACAGCTTAACATCGATTGAAGGCAGAAATTCTGGTTGCGACTGATCAGTCATCATGCAATGTTTTTTCTCTCTAAAATTAGCAATTTCAACAAGTTTTCAATAAATGTATTTCACACAGACACGTCGATCACAAAAATAAACAAATTATATGAATGTCTGTGAAGAACATTCAATCATTTGCAAGCCACTTGGGGAATTGGCACAGCAGGGCACGGTGCTTTGCAAAGCAGAAGCCTCACATTTGCAGTGCAACAAGGGATACATATAATGGACGTTATATATAAACACTTGTGTGAAGAGCATGTACCAATAACATATTATATGCTGCACAGTGCAAAGAAAACTACACAGGACACGATTTGAAAAAACGGGTATTTTCCAGTGATTCTAGAGCTGCAATTTTCCTGCAATACTATGAGCTGTATATATATATATATATATATATATATAATATCTATATATCTATATTTATATATATTATATATATCTCTCTCTCTATATATATATATATATATTATAAGCAGAAGTATCCATTATTTGCACACGGGATTGTCAATCATAGAGGTGTGTGGTCGGTCATGTCTTGCACACATAGGGATTCCCTTCCATTTTCCTTATCGCTCTCTTAATCATATATAATAATTAATATAAAGCTCATTTATAATATAAGTAGAGCTTGTTAGCATATTGATCTCAAAAGCCATTAAAAATTATACATCTGTTACGAGCAAAGGAAAAATGGCTTTTTTAATAAGTGGCTAATACACAGCAACACATAAAGTAATATAAATCTCTCTTTTTATATAAGCAGTACTAACTCAATGGATTATCCATTCGCGTGCTGATAACAAAACAAAAAACAAACATTTTGATACGCCTGAAATCATGCCTGCTCATCCATTCACACTATTATTAACAACTAAATATACACCGATACATTTAATTCACAAATGCTTTTGCACCACGGTACCATTGGGTTGGTAATCATCGTTTTAATAATTACTAATAACAACCACAACATTCCACCCCAATCTTACCAATGCTATGGTAGCTGTCACGGAGGTTGCAGTCGTATAGTGTTAGTGACATCAGGGACCCTAGACTCCCCACTCATATGCACTAGCACATATTGTAAAACTATGATTATAGCGCCTCACAAACTCACACGTTTTCACGCGTAGTTTCCAAACAAAGAAGCCATAACAGGACCTGCAGCATGGCCTCCTTTCTCCGTGCACGAATTCCCCCACACATCCAACAGAGCATACGACTCGTGCGAGGCATGCAGGAGGATTTCAGAGTTAACTCCACACAGAATAGCCACTAGTTTTTGCATCCTACATCATGCTGGCGTACAGTGTGCACAGTACAATGTAATTTCATACATATAAGAATCACACCTGGGAATTTTCAAGACGCTACCACCAAATGGACTGTAAACATAAACTCTAATTGAGTTGTGGATGCCTCCTCAACATCACCGGCGGAAACATGTCAACGGCAAGGAATCATGGCACGAGGTTGAAAAGCACTATTCACAGAAGTGGGTGCTCACAGAAAATCCATTACGAATAGTTTCGTGCAGGCGAGATGAAAACACAAGTGAAGATGAAATTGCAATAAAAAGGTGATGATCAGGGTTAACACGAGGCGAGGGTGTCTAAAGCACACTGGGCGCAGTATGGGCACGTCTTACCCATAGACAGACCAACGGACACAGATAGCATTGCATACTGATTGCACACACTACCACTGCTATTATGTAAATATTTCTCATATGGTACCAAATGCTAGGTTAATTGTGCGCTTTTCACCACGAAAACATTTTGCCATGGTGGCACTATTGTAGATTACACCGAACAAGTTTGAAAAACACCGGCTTGAATAACTATTGCGACTATTTGCTGAGCTGCCCGTGAGATCGTTCCGAATCCCTGCCTATAGATGTACATACAGATGACTATTTGTCAGCTTCCAAGCATATATCTGAACAAGCAAATGGTATATATAATATATCTTCATAAATCACTGCTATCTCAGGCACAGTATCATCTTTCCTATTACAATTGTACGTCATTACTAAATTATTTTGCAAAATAAACGCTCTGCATCATGTTCTAGGAATGGGCTCAGGGTGCTGGCTCTCCTTACATTCCGTAGCCTCCGTATTGAGTTTGCGGTGCGGCGTACGATACTCCATATTGGTTAGCAGGAGGCATCCCCATTCCCACACCGGAGGTGAGCATTAAGGGCCCCTGGTCTACTGAAAACAATCACAGGAAGAGCACATTCGATTACAAATAATTTAAGAGATTTACGACTTCCTATTTACGACACGTGAAGCAACAACAGATAGGAAAATTAGCATCAATAATTTAACTATAAATATCTCCATTTTTAATGTGATCTCAGTAATGCGTCCTAAATTTTTGGAACAGACAGCAGCTCCATCTTCACCGCGAAGTAGAAAGGGACCTGAATGAACCAGGCAACAGCAACGTACTACCCATTACCGTCACATGCCTAGTAAACATTTGCGCAATCTATTTTTTCGTTTTGGGGTCTCCTTAGAAAATACAAACCCCTCAGGCAAATAGAAACGTTGCCTAGATACATGGAGCAATGGTAATGATGCATGTTACTTACGCTCATAGGGTCTATGTCCCCCAGGATACTGCCGGAACGTACCCTGGGTACGGTCCGGTATACCGAATATACCCTGGTAACTATTTGATATGGTTAGGGTTAGGGTTAGGGTTAGGGAGTAGGCGTAGGCGACTCTAGACTCATTAGTGGAGTAGGCGTAGGCGACTCTAGACTCATTAGTGGAGTAGGCGAGGTACGGTCCGGCATATTAGATAGTACCAGGGCACGTTCCGGTATACCGGACCGTACCCAGGGTGCGTTCCGGCAGTAACCGGGGGGACATAGACCCTCTCAGCGTCACTTACGAACTAGAGGCTGTGGTTGCTCCTGCGTACTAGATTCTTCTTGTGACCGCACCGCTTCAGCCTCCATCAGCTTATCCACCTGTTACACGGCAAGACGTAAAGATGCAATGAAAGTAACCATTGCGAGAGTTTTCCAGTGTTTTCACCACTTTCATGACACCTACCGTTATTGCTTGAGTAACAGCAATTGTCTAGAGTAACAATATACATGTATATACAAAGTTGAAACTAAAACACTAGATCAGTTGCACGGGCAGACCATCAGTGCATCATATACAACCATATATATTTATATATAAATCCACGTGTTTGTATATATTTATCTTATGATCGACTCAGTGGGAACCCCCACTGATCTCTATAATATAATATTATTATAGAGATCATGATATTATTATAGAGATCAGTGGGAACCCCTCCCAAAAACCACAGAAACACGACTATATGGTATTTATTTAGAGCATGCGAACTTGCGCTAACCTTCATCGTCCCCTCTGAACCCAGTTTTCTACCCTGTGAATAGAGAGTAAGGCTTTCGCGCTAGCGTGTATCAGTACACGCGGAACGTTTTCGCTAAGGCTGGATGTATAGGGAACCTACATGTAGCTATCGCCATTCGAGCGCTTGTGTAGTTTTATTAGACGTGCCAAATATCTTTAGAAAACTCCACGACTATAATTACTTGTATCAATATGGATGGTGTGAAGTTTGTGTTTTTGTTACTCGTCGGGACCGTCTTGTTTTCAGGTAAACTAAGTGTAATCGATAGGCACAGAAATGTGATGTAAATCGGTGTCGATGCGTAGGTTAGAATGTGATATGGAGCCACTCGTGAATGGCCGCGTCCTCCTCACTGGACCTCAGGCTCTTGCCTTGGGCTCAAGGATAGAGAGCATGGTTGTGAGAGCAAAGCCGATGTGTTACGATACATAGTTCTCAATCTCGCCATGCTCTCTATCCTTGTACCGGCTCGTGTACGGGAACTCATGTTTGTCTATTTATGAACTAGTACTAGTAGTAGTACCGGTATTACTCACTATTAGTATTAGTAATGTCTGTCATAAATTGTCATCATGTTCTTTGGCGGTTGAGAAAAACGAGAAATAATAAAAGGCAGTAAAATGAGAATATAGTAAAGCTAAAGCCCGGCGCACACGTGAGTTATTTTACTCAAGTAAAATGACGCATGAGTCATTATAATATAATACAATATAATAATAGACAATGTTTATAATTCATCACCGACACAAATACAAGTTTACCAATTCTGCCATTAGGCATTATTGGCATACGATTAAATTTATTGCTGTCACGATGTGGCCAAATTCAATTTTCTATGCTATAACTGCATAAAATCTTAGTATTTTTTAATGTTGGTGTAATCAGTGATATTTCCGCTGTCAGGTGAGACTATATTCAGCTTTATTTAGTTTTTCTGAGCAAAAATCTCGCAATAACCGTTTTAAACACTTGGGAATCCGGAATAATCGTACTCAAACGAAAGTTGACGGGCTATTCGACGTGCATCGGATCGTGAAAGTATCTTTAGACGTCTTATCACAGGCGCTCACAACGCTGTAACCATTCTATAACCATCTTCTTAATGGTGGTTACTGTAACCCTAATATAAATCTAACACAAAAGTGGTAATCTGTATATGTGCATGCATGCGTGTGCGTGTGTGCATCCATGCTTGCGTGTGGCCAAAGCGTGATGCTCTGCACACTAGAACAACGCGCCTACCTTTAATATGTACTCTCTCATGACTTGGATCATGTAGGCGCTCTGCACACTAGAACAACGCACTCACCTTTGATATGTACTCTCTCATGACCTGGATCATGTAGGGCATCGCAAAATCGGTGATCTTGTTTCTCCAGGCGAGCTCGAGGATGATGTCCGGCCGCAGCAGGTCGTAGCACTGGAACAGCGCTGCCGCAAAGCACTCGTAATTGCGCTCCTGCAGGAACCAGCCGATCAGGCTCTCGGCCGTGTCAACGTCACGAGATTCTGCAGCATACTCCATCGCATCCTGCAATGCAGAAACGACGTCAGGCATACGCCGCGAACCGACAGAATGACAGATGCCACACGACGTCTGGCGAACAGTGGCAAAAGAGAGGTTTTCGACGCATTTCCTTCAGGTGCTTATTATAATCCGAGTAGCAATACCAATCGAAATCTCATCGTTCTTCGGTGCTGGAAGACTTCGAAACACAGGGTGTGAAAAATAAATTAAAAACGACCACGCCTACCAACATCAATCAGCTTTCAACGTCTAATCACTTTCCCCTCATTTCTAAACTGTGGTAATTTCGCAACACGAACCGCATCCCGCTGACAAAAGCTATGACAGATGACGACACCAACGCCTCGACTCGACTACACAGCCCCCGCAAGAGATCCTGGCAGCACGCTTCGCGTCGTAATCGACCGCGAGTTACCACGCAGGGGGCGCCACTCACCTTGAAGAGGCGGTCCTTCTTGCAGAGCTCGACGGCGAGCTTCCAGCGATTGTTGCCCTTGTAGAGGTAGGCGGAAATGCGACGGAACTCGATCAGCTCATGCTTCTCCAGCCGCTGCGCCAGCGCGATGTTGTCAAAGTTGTCGAACGCGTCGATCGACGTGCGCAGACCTGCAGGGGGCGCCGGCGGGCAACGTCAGTAAATTGAGGGATGATACGAGCAGGCACTTATAAGCAAATTTAAAGCGGTGAACCTTAAATAAAACATCTGGAGCAAGTCGAGTCACCATAGGTCAGGCTATGCTAGGAATAAGAATCTGTTGCTCAAAACGTGCGAGATGACGAGGATTAGTCGAATTTCGGCGCACAGGTCAGCTCTGGAGCCCGGCGAATCTGCAAGCTTTGTCTAAATTTGCATATGTCAGTATGTGCTAATGACAAAGGAAAGGTGCCCAACGGCAAAGCGATGCATTTTGCTATTTAGGCAAGTGTGAATAGTTTGTAATAGCCAAGCGCGAAACGATACAGTCAAATCTGAATACACGGCTCATTCTAGGGCGGGTCATTTAAAGGCCTAAAAAGCATCATTTATAAGCGGGTGACCACTCTATCGGTGGTTACACTTCATAAATGTCCTTCAAGGAAACTGCCAAGTGACCTTTATAGCCAGGTGTCTGTCCTACAAAGATGGTTACACTAAGTAACTACTACTCAAGGAAAACATTATAGACTTTAGGGGAACTTAGGGTTATTTATAGACACAGGTTTCCATTCTATTCAGGTGATTATTAACACAGGGTTAACTGCATGGGCCTCCCGCTGGTTATCAGCAGGTTGGCTTCCCTCGCTAGTGAAACGACACTTACAGACCTGCCAACCTGTGATTCATGAAAATAGTAAGGCTTTTCTTTTCTTGCAACGGGCGGCCATTTTGTTTGTATGTTATGCGCGCAATGAATGATGGGACTAACTCTAGATCACGCGAGAACAACGTGAACGCGTGATCCAATATGGCTGCGCCCACAATCGCCAGATATTTCTCGGCTCACAATGTAAAAAACATTAATTTTCACAAGTCGTAAAAAATCGTAAGTTTTTCAGTTTGATCGTACATTCGTAGAAACATGGAATTCGTAAGGAATACGAAAAAATCGTAAGGGTTGGCAGGTCTGCACTTACCACTGTAATCCTCCTCCTCCATTAGCAGGTCATTGAGGGCTTCATTTATCGCCTTGTTGTTCAGACTTTGGACCGAGCGGAGGTATGACTTCACTAACGGCAGCTGATTGCCCTGTGCACGAAAAATCAAAGCATAAGTATTTCTGGCGCAAGCAGAGATCTAATTTCACTAGGACAGCGATCGCAAGTGCGGTGGTCACCTCTTCACTTCCTGTGATGCTGCTGAGAATTGCCCCACCTAGTATGCATCTCTATTCTTCCCATAAAGTCCACGTATCGTCCCATGTATCCCTCTTTGCCCCCACACAAGGTAATGTCAAAAGGTAATTAGCCGTAATAACTCTTCATCAACGGAAATGTTTGCTTAGATACCCCTCTAACTTGCTGAAGTGCCCTAAAATTTCTGATTATACGATTAATTGTGATAATGCACCATTAGGGCAACCTAATTGTACGTCACATTTCATGGATGTGACATACACAAGGTACAACTTCACAGTCACAACATGCACGCACCTCACTTTCCTATGATAAAGCCCCACCTCCTTCTAATAGCCAATTACGTTCAAACACGACAGACCTATGCTATAGAAACCTTAACAATTATCAACTGTGTGTCTCAACTGGAACGAACCTTTTTAAAGTAGCTGACAGTACGCGTGTGATCCAGCCGTGGTGTCAACACTAGCAGAAGGTCATTCAGCAGCATTGGCTTATAGTCTTGGTAGAACTGGATGGCTTTGTAGTACAGCTCAATGTTAGCCACCTGTGTAGGAAACCACATATTATCATACACGAGCAAACACGGTCTGAAATATCACGTACACAATGAAAGTAGGAGATGCTAAAATCAACACCCCTTTGTAATACGGTCACGCACATACCTTTGTGATGATGTCCTTGAAGTGACTTTCCCTCCACGCATCTGTCGGGTGACTCATCATGGTCAGGCACGCGTTGTCAAACTCATCGTATTTATCGTAGAGGAACACCAACTCTGCCCAGAGATGGGCCTGTTCGGCTGCCCGCAGCACCTAGACAAACCAAAACATATGTTAGCAACGTCGCACCTGTCCACAGACGGCAGCAAATATGCAGTTCAAATTACGATCATCAATTACAATTGCTTTACCTATTGATCTCTTATTGAGTGGCATCTGTTTTTTTCTGTCAATCAAGGAATTTGTTAATACCCGACTGTTCGCACTAACAAAGTATAGAATACGATATTTCAAATAATGCTTGCCTTCGGAATGTTAACACGTGACCAGAACAATTCTAAATGTTCCTTCATCTTTTGCGGTTTATACTTGGAATATAGTATCGCCAGTTCGGTAAACATGCCCATGTGTGCTCTCTCCAAGCCTGCAAGACAACAGCTGCATGTTGAATCATCAATATCGGATACAGTGGACAATAGCATGTAAAAATGAATTAATTCTCAAAAGTCTTATTCTACTTCCTAACATTCAACTGATTATTCATCCAGAGAAAGAAGAATCATCATTTACTTCATGAAATTATCTACATACATTATCTAGAAAGTCACATCTAATCAAATTTCGAAATTTAATCTAAATACACTGCGTCAAAATCGCACCCTGGGCATGAAACGTCAGTATCATCTTCAGAGAACATGTTCTGATGCTTAGACACACACTAAGGGTGTAAGGTGCGGACCTAGCACAGTCTCCAGCATTATTGTCATCATCATCGTCATCACCACCAATGTCATCATCACCGTCATCAATGTCATCACCACCAATGTCATTATCACCACCACCATCACCACCACCACCACTGTAATCTACACTATGATGTCGCGGCACGGACCTAGCGCAGCCTCCAGCAGCTGGATGAGCTCCTCGAAGAAGCCACGGTCCTGGTAGTAGTTGATGAGCTCCTCCAGCTCGTCGGCGTGAACGACGATGTGCAGGCCGCACATCTGCGCCAGCCGGAACTCCTCATTGTCAACGCAAGCGAAGCACACCTGCACGCGCGAGAGACAAACGTCAGCAGTTAGTGCTGGTCAACTGAGAAAAACTCCCTACATCATAGCTGCACGGCTGTAGGTAGGCACAAGCGGGTTGTTAGTATTCTTCGGCAGGGGTAGAATTTAACTTTTGAACATGGGAGTCCAGCGGACTCCCTACCCTCAAAAAGAGGGAGTCTGCAGCAAAATAAGGGAGTCCGCAGTCTGAGGTTCAAAATGAAAGATATTAACAATAACGCATGTGCTTATTTTGAAGATTCATGCAGTTGCACGTCTGCCAAATTTTCTTTGCACATTAGCTGAAAAGATACTGTAATTCCGCGAGGCCATGCTCTGGAATAAACTAGTTACTATGGCAGAATTTTCAGGGAGTCGCACGGACTCCTGCATATGTCAAATCAGGTAGTCCGACAGTAAATCAGGGAGTATATTAGACCCCGGACTCCCGTTAATTTCGCACCCTGCTTCGGTATACGATACTCCTAATATCGAAGCAATAATTTGCGGTTTTACACATGCGTAAGAAATGAAACATACAACATGTACAATGGATATATAACGGGTAAATTCCACTGCACGAAAAAAAAACACGTTCACAATTTGAAGGCAATTGCTCTTCGTGGCTGTTTTTACTATGAACTTTTACAGCAACGAGCAGTTCAAAGCCAAGGAAGTGCAGCCTACCTCCTTCCAGGTTTTCGTGCTATTGGCCTTGCGCGCGCTGTCCACTGCCCCCTGGTACTCCTTCAGGTGCACGAGTGTGATGGCGAGGCGAGCGAAGTTGGACACGTTGTTGTAGAGGAGCTTGGCCGCCTCGTACATGCCATCGTCAAAGCAGCGATCGCCGACCTGTCACCACGGAAACGGAAACACACGTCAGATCGAATCGCAGAGATGCAGTCGTCGAATCGCAGAGGACGTAAATGCAAATGTGTGGGAGAGCCGGCATTGTAATTTGAGGATGACCGTCGAAACGTGTTGTCGGGAACGAATACAAGTACACACGAACAATACCTGCTGTACTTGCGCATGATTTGGACCCGAGATGAACTCTTCCAAGTCGGCGAGTCGGTTGGTCCTCGCGTAAGCGTACACCAGCTCTGTCTCGATGAAGGACTCTCGCGACTTCTTGCGGGCCATCTGTAGATAGCGAACTAGATCCTCCCAGTTGTCTGTAGTGAAAGTAGAGACATATGCTTAGCGAGGGGTTTATGTAGGCTAGATTTGGGTCCGATTTTCGGACCAAGCCATTCACAGTCCAAATGGAGATTTTACTTCACAATTTGAAAGGAGATATTTATGTTAATTTCACAATCCAGCTCTACATTGTTCATAATGACCACAATATTTTATCAAAACTATCCTTTTCAGTGATTTTAGCAAAAATGACAGTGCCTAAATGAATTTGGGCATGCAACGGTGTACTCGACCCTCAGTCAAGCTACCATCTCGACATGCTACCCATGTCGCTCATACGAAATGGGAAACACTTCGTTCGTTCCACACGCCGACGCGACAAATGCACGTTTTCACATCAGATGCTTCGGAGATCCGCGCGACGCGACGACTCCCGACAGCAACGGGCCATCGTTTCCACAGGAGCAGCCGTCCCTGCGCAGCACACCGGTAGCCCCTCCCCTCAACCCTGCACATACTCCCGCCCCACAATAGCAACAGTTGCCCCCGCGCAGCACACATGATACAGTCCCTCCCCTCCACCCCGCACTTACCGAGCCTCTTGGCCGTCTCGACCACCTCCATGAAGGAGGACGGGTCGTCGGCCTTGATGTACGAGTCAACTGCCTCCTTGACGAGTCCACCCTGCAGCTGAGCGCCGGCGAGCTGCGACCAGACGGCCGGCTCGTTGCAGCGCTCGGCAAACTCGTACGCGCGATCTAGGTCGCCGATGTGCTCGATGAGAACCTGACGATAAACGAATAACTAATGAATAACTCTTGTGACGACTCGCAAAGGGACGCGACGTGCATTTCATCATCGAGTCAGAAAAGGTAATCAACATTTATTGATCTCAACGTTAGAGAAAGCAAGTGACATGTAAGATATTTTGGTATGAAATGACCAAAAAGTCGCCCAGAGCTCAAGTTAGGCGTTAGGATTGAACGGAGGGAGAGGTAACTTGGGGGCATAGGGCATTTTGGCATTGAGTGAACTCAAAGTTAGAGAAAGTAAGTGACATGCAAGAGATTTCAGCATCGAGTCATCGCAACGTTAGAAAAAGTAGAGACACGCAAGATATTTTAGTATCAACGTTAGAGAGAGTAAATGACACGCTTGAGATTTTAGTATCAAATGACCTCAACTTTAGAGAAAGTGGGTGACATGCAAGACATTTCGGCATCGAGTGATCTCAACTTTAGAGAGAGTGAGTGACACGCAAGACATTTCGGCATCGAGTGATCTCAACGTTATAGAAAGTGAGTGACACGCAAGACATTTTCGTATGAAATGACGGCGAAGTTAGAGAAAAGAGCTCAAGTTGGGATTGAACGGAGAGACAACGACTTGGGGGGGCGTAGCCGTAGGACTTCCGTCGTGCATTGCCACGAAGCTATCTGATCATACACCTGAACCTACCAGTAGATCTCAGATTTCATCCTAGCATTATGTATCTGCTACATGTACATCTACTATCTAGCACATGCTAGACATGTTACGCCGCAGGACCAGAGCGTATAGCATAAAACGCTCGGACGTTGCAGGGTAACGCAGAGATGCCAACACATATTTGAAGCAATCTGTAGTTTCTGGCCATCAAATTAGTAGTTCGAGGGTTACGTAGTGACCCGAGTATGCTAGGGGGGTACGGCATGCCCCCCCAAATTTTTTTTGATTCTGAGATGCAATTTCCTGCATTCTGAGGGTCAAAAATGACAATAAATTGACAACAAATGACAATAATTGACAAAAAAAGTCTTTTTCGATCACAGTGAAATTCGTAGTTTGATACAAACTAGTCGTAGTGGTGCAAAAGGAATAGAAATTCGTATAAAATACGGATAAATCGTAGTGGTTGGTATCTCTGGTAACGTGTCCAGCACACGTGCGCGCAAGCCGCCGCCAAGGGGTAGGTGATAGAAGCCACGGAGCAGAGAGAACGCGGTACCTGACACGCCGAGGCGTTCACGTCAAACTTAATTGGCCAGGTCCGTCTGTAGCTGCGCGAAGCTTCAGCCCTATCATTTAATATCAACCAACCGTCATAGACATCTATTATTGGCTCTAGATAGTCTTCATCATCAGCAACGCAGCTTTATATCAGCGAACGACAGCCAAATATTACGATAGGACTCTGCCAAGAGAGTAACGTCTCCCGAGACAGGAGACATTACTCAGACGAGGACTGAGTAACAGGATAACACTACTAACAGGATACACGTGATTCCGAAAAAGTAAAAGTAATGGCAGCATTCGGATTCCAACTGCTCAAGTGCGCTGCGATACGCGCGCGAGGGGCAGGAAGCCAGCGTTCGGGCAGCGACGACCACGCACCTGACACGCCGAGGCGTTCACGTCAAACTTCTTGTAGATTGCGAAGGCTTCCTCGTACAGCTCGTTGCTGATCGCGATGTTGGCGATGTCCGGCGCGTCGTAGTTGTCCAGCCGGTTGATGTACTCCATGACGCGCGTGCGGTCGGCCTTGATCGCGGTCAGTATGAGCAGATTCTGCAGGTTCCTTTACAATAAATAGCAGACGTTAATGACCCGGATGACCGAATCAGGGAAGCTGGTACCGCATCCCCTCGAGAAGAAGACGACAGGACAAGTGCGATTGTTAACTGTCCGCCGTTAAGAAAATCACGTTTAATTACACTTTGAAACATTTACATGCTATATAGATTGAGGCAGGTTGATCTCAAACCATGGTTAGACCACATAGTTGCTTTAGCGAATAGATAGTTAAATAGTTGCCATTAGCTACAGTGACCTGGTGACTATGCACATCTTGCCTGAATTCGGATCTAGACTAAGAAATAGTATGATGGCACACACTTCAGATGCACTTACACGGAACACAACCAGAGTCATTCTGTCAATTTTGCTTGTACATTTACCCAATTCGTCTTATTCTTCTCTTAGAATATCTTCGATCATTCATTGGGCATCAGAAGAATACAGAACACAGGTTCCAATCCATAGAATGTGTAATCCTAAACCGTGTAACCAGTAAAGTACCTGCCAGCCTGCCGTCAGCATCGTGGCACCAGTACTGAGTGTGCAGCACCTCTTTAATAGCTGATGCGTGACTCACCTGTGATCGCTGAACACGGACGTGTCCAGTATGATCTTCTCTAGCAGCTCGATGAGCTCGTTGGGAAGGTCTGCGGCCATGAACGCCTTCACGGTGACCGAGATCTCCTCGGCATCCTGCGTCTCAGAGAGCGCCGTCTGCACCACCTGCGCACGTCGAAGACACCAACGATACGTTACCAACGATATGTTACCAACGATAAGAACATACGTGTATATATATATATATATATATATATACTTCTCCCCCTACCCCCTCGCTCTCTTTCACTCTCTCTCTATATATATATATAGAGAAGAGAGAGAGAGAAAGAGAGAGAGAGAAGAAAGAGAGAGAGAAGAGAGAGAGGGACCGAGAGAGAGAGAGAGAGCAAGAGAGCAACAGAGAGAGACAGACAGAGAGAGAAAGAGAGAGAGAGAGACAGAGCGAGAGAGATACAGAGAGAGATAGATAGAGAATGAAGAAAGAGACAGAGAGAGAGAGAAGAGAGAGCAGAGAGCGAAGAAGCAGAGGGA